TCCCATCCCCACATGCTAGCCCTCTGCCAGTTTGTCGGCGACAATCTGGCCATGTCAAAAGTGAGCTGGATGAATCTCCGTGAGACGAATATGCCGCCCAGCCATGGCAACGACGGCGACCCACTGACCTTCGTCCAAGAATCGAACGGTGACCTGCCGGTGTACACCTGGACCGTCGACCTGGGTGGCACCGTCCAGGTGACCAGCGTGCTGTACGTAGCCAGCATAACCTGCTGCCAGGGTCAAGAACCGCAACCGCAACACGGAGATCCGCGTTGGGAGTCAGCCGGAGGTGTTCGATGACCGGCACTCGGCGCGCTGCGTGCTGCTGGAGCGGCCGTTCGTGGGGGCGGGGTTTGCCCGGCTGCTGCGCTGCTCCATGCCGCTGACCGGCCGCTACGTGCGGCTCATCCGCCGAGATGAGGCACTGGACTTCGCCGAGCTAGGTGTCTTCGGGAACCAGCTCCCGCAGCTGTAGTGGATGTCCAGAAGAAGGGAGGGGCGACGAAAACGGCCGGGACGTACGCTCTACACCCTGGATCAGTCCCCACCGACCCAGCTCCAGCATCTGTCGTGGGTGTCTAGACGGAGGAGGAGCGTGGGAAACGGCCGAGGCGAGCGCGCTCACCCTGCGGCAGCTGGCAGTCCGCTGGCCCTTGCCACCATCCGTGTTGACTTTGGGGACAAAGTAGAACTGTGTCCAACCGAAAACAGAGTCATAATTATGCGGAGCGCACCGCCATCGCACACCGACAGGAGCGCTTCAGCACGGGCGGCCTCCCTGGAGCTGTGAAGCTGCGGAGCGCACCGTCATCACCAACCAACAGCAGTGTTTCAGCACGGGCGGCCTCCCTGGAGTTGGGAAGCTGGGGAGCGCACCGTCCTCACCGACCAACAGCAGTGCTTTAGCGCGGGCTACCTGACTGGCATTGTGGAGCTGTGTAGGCTACTTTTGGTAGGTTTTGGCAGCACGTAAAAATGCTCATGTGATAATTTCGCGCAAAGTTGGCTATAGCACCAAGTCATATCATATCAACCTAAGATGCTGCTCTCGTCACAAAATAAATGTACGTAAAGCAGGGCGCAGGCGGGGGGATGGGAGACGGGAAGCAGGCTCCGATCGCCCAAAGGGCCTTTCGGGACCGATGATCAAGGGTCTGATTGGAAGGCTCAGAGGTTCCGAAGGTCGCACGCACAGTGCCGGGGCCCTCGGCTGTTAGTCAAAGGTACCCACAGGCAAATATGAGTATATCACGAACCGCAGGCACAACAAATATCACCGCTCGCCGTAATGTCACACAAATGCAAATCCGGCCCAGCCCATGCTGTGATGAGATACCGTAGCGTCGATTCTCCAGCCGCTGTTTGTAAATGCTCCTTGCCGTGCCAGCGCAATGGATAACATAAACTTTAGCTTTTTATGGAATGGCCAAGTATACGACTTTCTGCTGCCTTCTCCAGTAAAACGCGACTTGCATTTTTCCATAACGCTTTAGTAGGACTTGCAAGGTTTTTTGCGCAACAAACCATCCGTAACCCGTGATTTCTAAGCAAGATGCACGGATGAATATAAATCAACTCCATGTACGAATAGCTATTTCTTGTTTGGCAACCCTACCAGCGATCTTGAATTTCTAAAAAAACACACTATTTTAACGCTTAAAAGCTGCTGCAATTTCGCGTACACACCCACACGAAATACGCTCTTATACGGATTGAAAATCACGAACACGTACATTGAACATGGGTTACAGCGTACTATGCATCGCCGTTAGCATAAATAATTTCGGTTGTTCTCTTCAATTTAGTGGACTGTGTTCTCCTCTTGCTGACCTTAACTGTCACGTCTGCGGAACACCAGCACACAATTTATTGATTGCTTTAAATCAGAAATGCTGACTGTTCACGCTGTTCCATGGATTGTCCCCCAAGCCGTCGATCATCTTGTCAGTTACCCACAGTGCCACTTCATGGGCTCACTTTTCCGGGCAGCATCTGGTCTGGAGACGGAATTGGGAAGCCACTGAGGAAAACTTCAGGAAAGGCAACGTTATTAGCTCGTGATACTTTGTCCTGGTTCTTGGAAGTGTTGGAAATATTTACTAAGTTGACACGTCCGGTACATTTCGGTGGAGCTAAGAGCTACTGCGCAGCCTTGGCAAAAGAACTGACTGACATGTCAGTTTTAGCAGTGAATTGCGATAGAAATAACAACCCCTATCACTTTATTACAACTACAAACGTTTAAGTTTTTGTACCTCCTTTATTTCTGTAGCTGTGTTGCATTTAGCGTATTTCATGCCTTGGTTTATCATTATTTTGGATCTTATGTTTCTTTATTGCACACGTATTTCACGCTCCAACATGCTTCATATCAAGGCCTTTGGCGACATCGTTTTAACACAGCATTACCATAGCAAAACCTAAAAAAGTTGTCTTGAGATGCGCGCAATATGTCTTCTTTCCCCTTTGCGCCCGGAGTTAAGGCACATCTTAACTCTCAAACCCCCGTCAATCACCGAGGAGCAGGCCGCCTTTATCACACCTGGTAAAATAACGAAGCTGCTATTTGACCAATGAACGGGGCAGCGAGATCAGACCGCAAGTAAAATTTGTGAAACCATTCTTAGCAAATTCAGTACCCTTGGTGCCAATATCCTTTGCAACAGAACACATCTGGCACGGTTTTCAAGCCAACATATGTCATATATTTTGCTGACACCTGTGTACTGGTGTGTGAACACCTACCAACCAATTCATGTGACAGCTAGTCCGCTGCCCTCAACTACACAGAACAATGCAATAGGCTGTCGAGTGATGGAATCGGCTAAATTTTCGCTTTGAGAACGATATTTGGTTTCTGCATTAACGTAGATACGCCTACCTTTGCGCCATTTTCATTGCTGTATTCTCATCCGAATCTTGGAGATCAAAACTTGGCACTTCCCCCTCCGCCCACTTGATATGTTTGGTCTAAGGGGTCGTTCATAAATAACGTTACGCATGGAGGGGAGAATGCTTTTTATGGAGCCTGACGGAAGTGTGACCAGGGAGGGAGGAGGAGATGTTGGGCATCGCCACAGTACAATCAGGTACGGTTAAAAAATAATCCTCAAGCCTTTTAAAGCAAATTAAAACTCTCGTCCGTTGTTTGTTTGGCATCTCCAGCTCAATTTGGGGCCAAGCGATCGTATTTTTGTGGGGCGTGGGACGTTACGCTTAATCCAAGCATAACTAGGGAAGAACGTGTTCACCCAGCGTGACCAGAGCGTAACCAGGGATGTATATATGCGAAAAATGGCCAAAAATGTGCAACAAGATTTGTGGACGGCCCCTTCATGTCGGATAGCACGAACTCGGACCAGGCTGGATAGCTTTGGTTAGGGGCACGCAGTACCATCGGTTAGGCATTTCTCACGTGGTGGGTCACGTCAAAGACCGCGCAAATGCCCCCGAAAGCTACCAAAATCTTTGAAAGACTTCAGGACATTTTAATTCTAGTTGCAGAGCTAATATGACATTGGCCACATAGTTATGCAATCGGTACCAAACGGAAGACCGCATTTATCGCTTTACAATTTTTGCATCATGTTAACGGACGTCAGGAGTCGAGGCTACGTAAGGTCAGGCCATCTCACATGATCTGATTGCCCTACTATCCGGTTCGCATGTTATACGTATCAACACTCGCTTTGAAAATGTGTCATTTATATCGTCCTATTTACCGAAAGTAGGCGTAATAAATTACCCTGGCTGAAACGTGTACGTTTACCATACACTTACCTCACACACTTACCACCTTCACCTTTAGTAATAATCGCGTGTGGTTTCACATGGGGTGAGTGACCCTGGCTGGCAAACGGTTGATCCAGTCAAGAAGGCACATATTATAGCTTAATTGACTCGGATTTACTAAACGTAGAGGCAAAAACCGCCGTGCCAGTGCTCACAAATAGTAAAAACTCAAAGAGCTGATCAAACATCGCAATTCCGTTGCTCCAGAATGCGTCAAACCGACGAATTGTTGGTTTCTTAAATTTTGGTAGATCTACGTGTCACGGCTTGGAATTTATTTCCCAAAAGAGGTGACTTGCATTTCTCCTAAGCGGTTGCGGGTTAACGTGTAGCAAGTATAGTTTTGACTTCTTGTGTATAGTAGGCGCTGAGATACATGACATGAGGAGTATAATAAATAAAAAAAACACCAACTTGCATGACGGCATGTGCTTCACACCAAGGGTGCAGGTACTCGAGGGAGGGCGCATGGAAACGTTTTCCCCAATTTGGACGCGTTCCCCTCCAATTATTCCGGTATAAGGCAAACTTTCCACATTTGCCATTTAATGTACTATTTTCAAGTCAGGTTGTCTCCTAAAATTTCAGCTTACATCGACAATCTCAGGGGCCTGGCTACACTCACGACTCCAATCAACACCTGATTGCCCTTTCAACGGTGTGCAGGTGTGCCTCGGGTATGTGTGTAGGTATTCAAGGATTGAACGCAGGCGCCGACAAAACAGACGCGTCGCTGTCCGGGTGAGTCCGGTAAACAGTTGTTGCATAGTGTTGCAACCTGTATCAAAAACACCGCCCGTACCAGTCACACGCCCACCGTCGTCAAAAGCCTCAAACCTCGTTATCAATTTTAAGTAACGCTCCCTTGAAACAAGCTTATCACATGCAAATTTAGAGGTCGATACTCTATCAAAATCCTGGAATGAAAACAACACAGACACGATAAGTTGTGCAGTACTGCTACGGAAGCCTTACCATCATAAAAAGCTCAGCAGCGTCCTTCTGTCCGCAGCAAGAACATTGCCTAAGCTCTGGCATTTTCCCATATAGCCTGTTGTTTGCCGGTTAGACTCCATCAATATGCTCCTTGATCGACAAAACCCCAGTTGTGCAACACCATTTGTGGCAAAAAAACCGTCAAGATCGATGACATCACCAAAGCAGGCTGGCAGTCCAAATGGATACCGTGCGTCGCAGGCATTCACCAAGGAGGCAGCGTGGTTGTCCGCAGACTGGTCCACCGAAGGGGCGTCCTAGGCAACCTGAGACCACCGCTCCCACGTGTCTGAGCGCAATATCCGCCGGTTCGCTGACTCGTCCCTGAACACACGCCGGAAAAGACTGGATGTCACGCGGCGAACTGCGCCCGTCCGTTCCGTTCGTTCTCGGAACGGTCCCTCCTGTCACGTGTGGCGGACCGGCAGTTCCGGTGACCAGTTCCGCCGGCAGTTCCGGTGACCTCAAGAGGCGCCTGGGGGAGACGCTTTCTTGTTTGAATATTTATTAACCTGGGGTCGTCAGGTCCCCGTGTGCGTCTTATTTATATACTCGTGTCGTGAAATGGGTGTGATCGTTGCATATATTTTACGGAATCGTTTCGTCCGTGCATTGTCTTCCTCTTGCGATTGATAAAGCTCATTTTCATCGTGACAACGCCTCAGCAACATGCATGACACTGTGGTGGCAACAACCAGTTTTACTGTAATCCACAGCGGTGCACAATAAATACATAAGTACACTTCAAAACCATGACGCAAAAAAGGCACCAATTCTAACTTGAGTGTTCGGTTCAATTATAATTTAAACCACGAGCGTCAGCGACGTTGCCATCACCCACCTGCACACAGCGGCTCGGTCCGTTGCGCAGCAGCTTTCCGGAAGCTTTAGTGGTGACTTGCTCCGACCACGCGAGCGCCGCTCTGACCTGGGCTTGCCAGGGCTGCCCGGTCACGTGTTGCCGTGACGATGGCAGCGCTGCTCGGCACTGCTCAATCCGGCGCCGGACCAGCCCGTCGTGACCCGTACGGATCGGCACGCTGCCTGCGCCTCCCGGCGCTGGCAGCGCTTGGTGCCGCACGTGCGGCCTGCTCCCAACTGCGGCTCGGCGGCTCGGCGGCGGCGGCGGCGGCGGCGGCGGCTCCCACCGCCTCCGCCCGACCTCCCACCTGGCCGGCGGCGGCCGGCCGTCACCCAATGATGATGGGCTTATAATGGGCGCGGCAGTCCTACAGCCAGGTCGCGGGGCATTGTTTCGACGGAGACCTTCGCCGGCGTTGGCCGGCTCGATTAGTCCGAACCATTCGCCGAACCATCGGGCGGCCGGGGAGTTTCACAACAATGGCACGCTTCCGCAGCGCACTGTCTAGGTTCAGGATACAGCGGTATCCGCTTGGGAAAGGGGCTTCCCGTACTGCCGAGGCGTCCTGGCCGCTGGAGATGCCTGCTGTGAACGAAGATAGATCGGGCCAAAATGAATTTCTCGTCAGGTGCATTTCATCATCTTCCATTGAAATGATATAAGAGAAGTTTTCAACAATGCAACGTGACTTATTATGCATCGCGCACCGATGTTATAGCGTCTCAATAGACAACTCTTATTATCATGCTGTCCCTTGATATGATCAGGTGGTCGAACGCACAACAGGAAACAGAATAAGCATACAACAGTGGTTAAGGGAAGCCAAAGGTACGGGGTTCGATTCCCCACAGTTCCCGTCCTTCCTGCCAGGGTGATTGGCAGGCGTCGCCATATAGCCGAGCTTCCTGGGTGTGATGTAAAACTCGACTGACGACAAATGAGTGGACAGGAAACCCCAGACACTATCTCGCTTCCGCACTTCTGCACTCTCCGGCTGTCTCTTAGTTGTCTCTGTCTCTGTCCGTCTGCACTCTTCTCTCGATCTCGCGATTCTCTCTCTTTCTATCTCTCTCTCTCTTTCTTCGCTCGCTCGCGCTCTCTCTCTCTCTATCTTCTCGCTCCTCGCTTCTTCTCTCTTCCCCCCTCTCGCGAGGAGAGAGCTCTCTCTCTCTCTCTCGCGAGAGCTCTCCTCTTTCGCGCTCTCTTGATTCTTCTCCTTCTCTCTCTCTTCTCTCTCTCTCTCTCTCTCTCTCTTCTCTCTCTCTCTCTCTCTCTCTCTCTCTCTCTCTCTCCCGCTCTTCTCTCTCTCTCTCTCTCTCTTCTCTCTCTCTCTCTCTCTCTCTCTCTCTCTCTCTCTCTCTCTCTCTCTCTCTCTCTCTCTCTCTCTCTCTCTCTTTCTCTCTCTCTCTCTCTCTCTCTATCTATCTATCTATGTGTATATACATATATATATATATATATATATATATATATATATATATATATATATATATATATATTTATATATATATATTCAGAATACATGAATATATATAGATTCATATTTGTCGACGTATTTCAAGAGCAGGCTTTCATTTTTGCATTGCTGGATAAACAAAACATCAAATTCGGCATTTATGACCTTCTTGGTCATTTGTTCAAAGCTTCGTATGGTGCATGTGTCGTTTTCAGTGTGTCGGTACGAAATATTACGAAAGTCTACCTAGTTTACATCTCTATCAGTTCGATGATCATTTTCAAGACAATCAGTTCACTTTTAACTTACAGTCAGAAGCACAGCATATGGACAAAACTTTGGTTTGATCTGCTCACACGAAAATCACGCTCGAGCCTTTTGAAAAAATTGCGTTTTCCATGATGCATGCTCTCACTCCAGGTACACAGAAAATGTATCTGGCCATTTTGATACGCCTGACGAAATTCTGTGAGTTTTGCCCCGGTTTATTCTGGGGTCTGTGCATGACAGACTCAATAATGTGGCACCAGATGAGGCCCCTGTCTAATAATGTCTAATCATTCCGTTAAATTTTTATTTTTGCTTTAAGATAGCAAGCATAAACAATTCATTTTCGTTAGTTTTCACATAGCAGAACTCCATAAATATCATGTTCGGTATTAATCGGCTTTGACAAATTTGCGAGCTTCATGCAAACAAACAAGCAAACAAGACGTCACCGTTTTTGTTTCGCCTGTATGAGCCCATTCATTCGCTCGTCTTGTTCGCTGCTCGCTTTATCTGAATTAACGCTGTTGCCTTGTAGGCCAGGGAGCGTTTTTCTTGAGCAGTCTTCATATCAGACCGCCGAGGATCCCTCTCGAAACTGTCGGGTGTCTGTGTCACTGCACTGGCAAGGAAAATACGGAAAATTTTAAAAGAATGGGTAGAATAACAGTAAGCAAAATTCGAAGGAGCTTTTCGAGCTCACAGACCTTCTGTGCGATTTTGAACCCTTCCACCCCCAGTAAACTTCGTAACTTCAATATCTGATACTCATGCACACACACTTGGCTATGAATGCAAATGCATTAATTAGATGACTCATTAGACATCAAGATGTAACAATAGCATGACAACTTATACTTATATCAGCAACTATAACAACTGAAGACTGGTCGCGGCCCAGGCCATGCATGATAGCCTTATTAAAGCTTTTTTTCAATGATGGATTCCTTGTGTTGTCTAACGTGCGGATCAAAGACAAACATGACGTTTGTTCCATTTTCTGTGGAAACCGCATAAATGCAAAGTTTTGGTGTGATTCATGGTCTTGTGGGGCATGGAGATACGCATGTGAATGCACTGCCAGCATTTTACCTCTGTTCCCATTGCGGGTTTACACATCGTACAAATTTCTATCACGGCCGCCAGTCCCAAGCGAGTTGTGCGGCTTACCTCTACACCAGAGACCTCTTATGTCTGCTACCCGAAGCGCTCACTGCGGTCCGACATAGATGACGCCACTAGCGGAGCGCCACCTGCTGCTCGAGGTGTCACATGACCGCGTAAGGGCGGCGCTGTTTCTGCGCCGGTATTACTGTTCAGTGGTTCTTTGTCTTGGGGAAATAACCACCATGCGGAAAACAGAACACAATGCAGGAAAACAACTCAGAATGCTGTAAAATGCAGGGTTTGATTGGCTGACCTGTGTATGGTATTCCTGAAAAGCTAAATGGTCGAACGACACTGCAATTTTGACAGCCACGCTCCCATAATGCTCCTCTGATATGCGAAGGTCATCTGCATAGTAAACTTTCCGAGCATAATTCCCCATTTCACATAACACGTCGGGGGCCGAAGACCTCTCGGGAGTTGTGGCCGTTTTAATCTGTAGAGACAAGGGACAACCGAACCAGTTTGCTGCTGTGCAGAATTGGCTGGCGGCCAGGGGCGAGCCCATGATAAGCGATTATGGACGTCATGTGGTAGCCAGTTGGGTATGGCATTGTATGAGCAGGCTTCCTGGCGTATATTTTTATCTGCACGGCAAGGTGACTGGGGACGTTATGAATTTAGTGGCCTGAGCCTTCGCTTTGCTTATGTGAAGTTCTGGAGCCATGCGGCGGTCGTCAGGCTGAGCTCAAGTTAAGGAGATTCTTGCAGAGAAATGACCAACATTCTTATCCCGCCACCGCATGACATCGCTGTGTCGGATTCATTACTTCAATCAGGAACTAAGGCGACGGGCCCCGGAAACGAGGTCAGGACCGGCCGCCCAATGACCAATGGCTTCGAGACGTGTGAAATGATATACGTGTCCACTTCCACCACCTATATATATAAAAACAAAAGTTTTTTACTGGTCTCGGTGCTAAGTACTCACACTGGTGGATGTATTTCGAAGCCCTGCAAAGCTTTCACACGGGCAATTATTGCATTAGCTCTTAAATTAAAGACGCGCACGTGGCCACTGGAAAGCACATGCATGCTTAACGCAGCTTTAGGGGGCTGCAACACTGAAATGCTAACGATAACGTAAGACTTCATTACACCCGTAATATTCTTATTTTTAGAAATTGTAGCCTTATGTCATAGGACAACTTTTGTCCGGAAATCGTCAAAAGCACATTTTGAGCATTCCAACTTTTGGTTATGTCAGTTGATGGTTATTTTGCTACCTTGGTCATAAGTTCTTTTGGTGCCAGCATTCATGGACTCACAAATCGCTTACACACTGCGTCAAAAAAGAGAGCTTAATACTTCCAAGCGTTTACTGTTCTACAGTTGCACGAAAATTACACCATGAGCACATGCTGAGTTGTTTTTACTAAAATGACCAAATACGTCTGAGTTTTTGATTTATCCAAACTTGCAAACTAGGGTACCAACCACGAGAACTAAGGGAACCATGGTTAAAACTAAGCCCATCACTAAGGTACCAACAATGGGCACTAATATGATTAACCACGGAAGCTAGTGCCGCCAACCAAGGGAGACTGACCCATCCAATCGGGGTTGCTAGCAAAACTAACCAAGTTAACAAAGGCGACTAACTAATGGTGTTATAGCAGCCTCTGTAGGTTACCACGATAACTAAACCCGGCCATTATTACAACTAGCCAAACATATAAGTAAAAGTGCATTTTGTGACCTTTGGGAAGGTACGGAATGCTGCAATTGGATAAACGTAAGCATAATACAATAACATTATTGCACCCTCAGATCGCACGAATTCAAGGTCGTTATTATACGCCGAAAGAAGGTTCGTTATCATGTCCAAAGTTGTTATCATGCACCTGAGCTCCATTCTGCTACAGCTACTGAGGATAGGACTAACAGTATTACATCTGCAAGCAGCGATAACCCTATGCTTCATGTAAGCGGTAAAGTTTTGGAAAGCAGGTCTTATTTTTGGTAAATCGTTTTGAATAAATCCCTTTTAAATGAGACAACGTGTCTCGCCTTTGACTAAGTTGCATCGCATTGCAAGGGAAGTTGTGTTTGTGTTTTTCCCCGCCATACAAAAATGTTTATATCGCAAGCACCTGAATGCGTTACAGCATGCGTGCAGACCAAACATACTCGGCTGTGCTATTTTGTAACTCGTCGTGACTGCGACATGATAATGTTTGCTCTTTTAAGCAGTCAGAGTTTGTCTTATGCTTGCCACCTCGGTTTTGGTTTCGCAGATAGGAATTATGGATACGCATGGGTAATGTAAATGTCGACATGCTGTCTGGATGACAATAGGCCATGCCAATCATGACAGTCGACCATCAAACGAATTGGTAGTAAATCAGTCAATGTCATTTGATAAATGCATTGCATCAATGATACTCCATACAAAGCTGATGCAACATGTGCCCCCCGACTCTTAAAAAAATCCGAAATCCTTCGCTAACTGATGTTAAACTCTGCTGCATATGTGACACATGTACTGCTCCACTTCTCAACATAGCATTCATATAAGTCTAGTTATGCCGTACGACCTTAGACACACATTTACATCTATCGCTAATTTTCAACGACATGCAAGACAACAGTGTTGTCACGCTCATCCCAAGACGTAAGCACGTGTGCAACCGGAAGTCCAGGGAGGGAGCTTCTGCGCGCCAGCTGAGTGACTCAAGACTGCCATCTGTTGCAAAGATTTGGGACAAATCACCCCGATACCGCCTTAACATGATACAACTCATCCCACTCTCACCTAGGTGTGGATGAGGCTTGCTGTTCTGTAAGTGCGCGCTGTTTTCTAGTCGACACACACATAATTAATTCATCCTCTGACCGAAAGCTGCCGAGGCTCAGCCCAAAAGTGTCAAATTAGTAGCCGTGACCTGCATTCCCGAAAATATTGCATTCGACGCTCAAACTATCCTTTTCACAAAATCCAAAAGCATCGTATTACTCCGCGAGCTACAGGCGTTGCCATGGCAACATGGCAAATGAGGCAAGGTGATTGGTGAATATTCTCCAGCATGCCGGGAACACGATTTATAAATGATTCATTAATCATCAAATCTAAAAATATATCTCTAACGCTACACGCGAACGCATTGTAACCTCACGTGGGTAAAGCTGGCTTTTCCTCAGATTACACTCGCTTCTTTACCTGTCATGTTGCCTCAGCTGAGCTGCTTTTTGATAGCATGTGTTGTACAAGAGCCGTGGAGCGCTGCCTGAAGCCAGATGTGCGTACAGAAAGATGAGCAACGCACGAGGCGGCGCCATCTTTTGGTTGGAGGTCAGCAGTGGGCCACAAAATAGGGATGTGATGTTTTATGGATGTGCACCAGTCGTAGGCGTAGTGAATTGTGAAAGGTACCATATCTTTTCCCAGGGCCAGATCATGCGGGTGATGTTCTTTTAATATATGCAGGTCACAGCAGGGGTACAGGCAGCTGGCACGGGAACACGTGCCCCTACGAGCTGGCCCGAAGGGCCCCTCGAGACCAACAATCCACGGTTTTATCGGAGGGCTCTAAGAACCCAAGGGGCTGGCTGACGTATTGGCCGTTTTCAAGCAAGCATTATTTGACGAAAAATTAATTTGGTACAAGTCTGAAATCCCTCACAATAAACTTAAAAGCTAAAGCAGGTTCATTATTTGTCGTCAGGGCCATCGAAATAGCCGCAACGCTTTACTCAGCAGGCGTTTTCACTCCATCGTTAAATAATGTAGTAGCCTACTTGTTGTTCAAAATGAGTAGCCTGCTGGTCATTTGACGTTTGCGACTTTTTATTATTTGCAAATGTAAAATGAGAGATTGGCACATGATGACGGAAATAATAGCCTTCCAGAATGCAGTTTACTGGTTGTTTTGGTAGGCCTGACGACAGATGATGCGTTTTGGCCCCTGTTTATACTCTTTTCGGGATATCTACAGTTAGGTGCCTATGGAAAGCAGCAGTGCCAAATGAGATATCGGTGGAATAAACACTAGCGTGAAAAGCGCTATGAAGAGCTTCGACCCCTAGAGCCCCATGTCAGTCAGAACGTCTCTAGCACCGTTCGAGGAGCCAATGGGACAACGCGGGCCTCTGTTGCGACCAGAGACTAGGGAACGGGCCAGGTAGTCGGCTCCGTATCGGCCTGATCCCTGGGGCCCATTTCTCAAGCAGGGACAAGACCGGGACCCCTATTTGCTTTGATCGGACCCCGGAAACAATGACAGGCCCCTGTGTCGGTGGCGCCAACAGCCCCTAACAAGGAGTGCTGTGTCTGCAATGGGCCAGAGTGGGCCAGGAAAGCATTTGCTGAACAGGGAAAGGAGCGGTACCCAGAATATTAGAGAACTTGTGTGTTGGTCTGGACTCTCTAACAATGAAAGGGGATATGAAAGCAAAAGATGAAAGTTAAACAATAAGACGACGGAAGAGTCCTGTATTACTCAGGGGTCGCGATACCGAATGAGGGCCCTCCATCGCATTTCAGCCACATGCATGATAGCCGAATTGGGCTGTCAACTGAATGGGCAAAATGGAACCCCTGCGACGATAAGGCATCTATTTGCGTCAATGATGGCCTCTGTGTCGATTCGGGGCCAGCTGCCCAGGCCAGAGGGCCTCCCGAGCCAGAGGGGTCGGGAACCAATGAATGATGTATCCCTTTAAGGGTCTCAGGATCGAACAGGGAGCCCCGGTCACTGCTTGATTGTGACTTAAGGATACTTTTTTACTAATCGGCTCTGGAAGGATATTTTTGTCACTCTGTTCAAAATTAAGAATTTGGCGCTGCTAAACAAGTATAGGCTGGCCATGTCAATACAAATTTTTGACACCATTTTGTTCTTCAGCCAGACAGTGGAGAACTATTTCGCAAAGTGAGGTGTAAGGGTTGAATGGTGGAAAAATGAGGAAACCTATTAAAAAATAACCAACAGACAGGCTTCCTAGCAGATTCAACTCGCTTTCTTCCCACAGGTGGGAGGGAAGCCCAACTTAGGACATGGGCTGAGCACCCTCAGCTGAAGCGAAAGCTACGCCCCTGAATCTACTCTTAATTCACAGGCGCCTCAACATCTCAGTAAAATCCCGAAAAGGTCAAGCAAAGACCCCGAGCGCTTTTGGTTTGAAAAGAGTTCATTAACCTTTTGTAAAAAGAAGAGCGCTAGTGGTTTATTCGATGCGGTCAAATTTTCATTGCGGTTTGAAACAGAAAACGAATGGCATCTGCAATGTCCTTGGGCTTTTATTTCAGCTAAAGAAGGTACAAATGAAAATGAACCAGAGAAAATCGTACCCATTTAAATGAAGTGGATCAAATCCGGGGGCATCTTGGAAGGGGGGGGGGGGGCTATCACCAGTAAGGGTCCTTTGTGAACCCGGTGCCTCACCACTAACGAGACTCTGGTCACGTCCGTGATCACCGGGGTAGGCCAAACCACCTTAATGAAACGCACACCACCTTAATGAAACGAAGCGATATATGTTTACGTGCTTCTGGTTTATGTGTAAAGATTGTGATAGATTATTACGGTTCGTCATGAACTACAAATACTGCACCGGAGAACATGGAAGATCAGTGAGTCGATGGTCAGCATCACCACCATTTCACCGGATTTATTTCTTGTCAGGTCTGGTCTAAACCTAAAACAAAGCGATCCAAGGTCAAGAAAAAATCCGAATTTAGCTGTAGATTAGTATCCATCAAATGGGGTCGCTAGATCCTTGAACAGTTGAATCCCCCATCTTCTATCCCGAAGTGGCTTCGTCGTCCCTGATGACGAATAATAACAGACTTGTGTTAGGAAATTAAAACTTGTTTGTTGGGAGATTGTGTACTCAAAAACGGCGGTTGCCGATCACCGCTAGAGTAGCGGGCACAGCAACATAAAACTGAGATGCGACATGTTGCACTCAGCACACGGTTCCCCCAAAGAACTGTCTGCATGCTTTTTGCCGTAGTCCGGTCGCGCAGGTTTGTGATATCAACGCTGTAACAGCTTACACATATAACACCTTCACTCGGCATCCCTTATCTCTTGCTATCTTGAGGATTGTTCGTTGTCATTTCAAGAAATCCCAATTCATAATGCCGAAACACTAGCAGCTGAAGGCGTCTCTTGCTAGTATCCAGCCGTCACATAAAAGTGGCCTGCAACGAAACACGTCGAGCCATATTCTGTATTCGCTTAGGGGTCACTATTAGGAAGTTATACCGTACTCATCGTATCAGGGTTTGGCTCAGTTACTGGACCTGTCGAATCCCGAGTGATAACGCTGCTTTTGGCTGGTGGTTAGTCCGCTGTATTACCGTGTCGTGACCGGAAGAAATATTCCCTCCGTGCGGTTCAACTACCAATTTATGTTCTCTGAACAGTAACACGGGAACGAGCAACAAGCTAAGTGCCCCAGATCGTCTTTTACCCTTTTAAATTTGCTTCTACATGCGTATCGCCCTAACATCAGTGATATTCAATAAATGGCCAAAATGTATTTGTTCCAGAATGGGCTGCGGTCTCTCCCACAACCGCCAAACCCCTTCCAATTCCTACAACGCTCCTCTCAGGGCGTCCGACCCACAGCTCCTGCCTTGCACTGCCTATGATGCATATTTCCTCAAAGTCACGACTTTACCCGTGGCTTACAAGCGCTCACCCGTGGGAGGAGTCCGCCAGTGCCTCCTCCGCAGCGCTCCTGAACGGTCTGTGGTGCGGCGCGGCGCCCGGCCAGTTCCTGCGCGGCCCGGCAGGTGGCAGCAGCGGCGGAACCGGTTGGCCGCGGCCGGGCGGGACGCGCTGCGGCGATTGTATCATTCAGTCTATCCTTTTAAATGTGGCAATAGCGCTCGGGACAGTGCCGCGAGCGCGAGCATGTGCTGAGCGTGCCGAGTGGGTGACGTCTGGCGAGGGAGCACGGTCGCAGCCGCCGCCGCCGCCGGGACAGCGGGTGAGTGGGTGCCGGCGCCGCCAGGCTGGCCGCCGCCGATCAGGCGCCTGTTGGCGCCTGTTGTCGGACGTGAGCGCTCGGCCGCCGAGCCGGGATGCCACAGTGTGCACGGCCGTATTCAGGCCAGAGTGCCGTTGAACCTGCACTGCGGCTGCCGGCTAACAGCGGAACAGGGGACAGTGGCTATGGGACAGGGACAGTGACTGTGGGACAGGGGCAGTGACGGGACATGGGACAGTGACTGTGGGACAGGGACGGTGACTGTGGGACAGAGATGGTGACTGTGGGACAGGGATAGTGACTGTGGGACAGGGACGGTGAAGGGGCATGGGACAATGACTTTTGGGCAGGGACAGTGACTGTGAGACAGGGACAGCGAAAGCCACGGGACAGTAGCGGTGGGGCAAGGACAATAGCGGGGGCATGGGACAGTGGCGGTGGGACAGCGGCAGTGGCAGGGACATGGAACAGTGGTGGTGGGGCAGGGACAGTGACGGGAACACGGGACAGTGGTGGTGGTGGAACAGAGACTGTGACGGGACATGGGACGACAGCATATGGGTACCGTGGTGGGAGGGTACAGGTCAGCGGTGAGGGACAAGGGACAGCGACTGCGATATAGGGAGCCATGACAGCGGAATAGGACAATGTGACGGCAGTATAGGGGAGAGCAGGTGAGAGCAACAATGCTACAGGGGACATCGGTTAGATGAGGGACAATGGCGGTGAGGTCGGGGCCAGTGACCGTGTGCCGGCGGCCAGTGACGACGATACTGGGGACATGTCAGCGGCACGCGGGACAGAGTCACCGTCCAAGGGACGGCGATCATGGGACGGGTGATAGCGACGGTGGGACACCTGACGGAGACTGCGGAACGGAGGTAATTGACGGAGGACGGCTGGCGCCAGCTACAGGGCCGGAGTATTGACGATGGGACGCGGGACAGTGACGACCAGATAACGTGATTGTGGGATAGACAGACGGTAACGGTGGGGACGGCGGTCAGTGAGTGGGGGGGGGGGGGGGGGGGACAGGACATGCACTGGCAGTGAGTCACAGCTGTTACCGTCTTTGGCATAGCATACAGAACGATATGTCGGCACTGTTGTGAATACTCGGATTTGCATCCGAAAATAAACATACTAAAAAAAGATCAGAAGACAAGGACAGCAGGATGCATTAAGCGGCTCGTTGCTCACGGAGAACAGCGTGGCATTGGTGTAAGGCGCATGTGGCGGCAAGGGACGACACGGCCGAAAATAAGTGCTGACGTTGATGTGCTCTGACCGATATTTTATACGTCTGTGCTCTGTCGGAGGACGACTTTTACGTGTCCTGGCTGACGGCTGACACTGACCTGTACCCCGAAAGGCAGCTGACACTGACCTATACCCCGATGGGCTGCTGACACTAACCTATACCAGGTGGGAGACTGACACTGGCCTATTCCCGGCGAGAGCTGAGACTAACCTGCACTCCGACGGGCAGCCTACACTGACCTATAACCTGGTGGGCAGCTGACACTAACCTATAACCCGGTGGGCAGCTGACACTACCCTATGCCACGTGGAAAGCTAACACTGACCTATACCCCGATGGGCTGCTGACACTAACCTATACCAGGTGGGAGACTGACACTAACCTTTCGGCAGTGTTGAGCTTTATTAGACCCATTGACCCATATCGGGCAGCTGACATAACCTGTACCAAGTGACACTGACCTTTGACCTATACCTGGCTGACATTGACCTTTACCCCGACGGACAGCTGGCACTGACCTGTACTCCGACGGACAAATGACACTAGCCTGTACCAGGTGGGAAGTTGATAATGACCTATACCCGGCGGGCAGCTGGCAATTACTTATACCCAGAAGAGCAAGCGATGATGACCAGTATCCGGTGGGCAGCTGGCAACGATTTTTACGCCGAGTAGTAGCGGACACTGACCTGTACCCCGGTGGACAGCTGGCAATGGCATATACCCCGGGGGATAACAGACACTGACCAACACGCCGATGGACAGCTGACAATGACGTGTACCCGACGGGCAGTTGACAGTGACGTGTCTACTGACGGATACGGTTGGCAATGACGTGAAAACCGACGGGCAAGTGGACGATGACATGTACCCTCGCTGTTTGACTTGGCAAAACATTGCTCACTGCCGTCTGCCCGACGCCCGATACCAGCAGGCGACGCTCCCAGACGCTGAGTTGATACTGGGGATCGCTTGTCGACAGGGATCTCGTGGCCTCTGGGAGCTCCGGCCCCTCTGAACACCGAACACCAAATTCTAACGTGGGCGGTTGGGTGCCATGAAGTTGCAGGCTCAGTGGAATTCAGTCGACCCCCAGACTGGCCCCTGAATCATAGGCACTCAAGCGGCTTATGTGAGCGGGTTCGAATTCAAAAGCCGTGGCTAGCAAGGGCGTCACCACTTCAGCCGCCGATGCGGGGGTTCGAAGTGATGCGCCGGTGGCAGCGATCTCAGCGATACCAGTGAGCGCATCATGGCAGCGTGCAGGCCTGTAGTGCCAGCATCGCAGCGAGAAGTGCATCGGTATATTTTTGTGCGCTAAGGTGACTGGCATGGTTGACAAAGTGCCAGAAAATATGCACGCTGGCTGGCGAGGTAGGTCTGGCACTGATCCAGAGGCCGGCCACCACACTGTACGAGTCTCTGGACTCCCAGAACGGCTATCAGCTGTTCGCTTCGTCGCACGCTGAAAACCTACCGACCATATTTGAGGTGCACCCAGCACAAGCCACTGTTATCTCACCTTAAGACGGGCCTGGGCACAGCATGTCACTCCCGGTCTGCCCTGCAGTTGTCCATGTCACTCCCAGTCTACCTTGCAGCTGCTCATGTCACTCCAAGTCCACCCTTGTACCTGTTCATGTCACTCCCAGTCTAGCCTGCAGCTGCCCATGTCACTCCCAATCCACCCTGCAGCTGCCCATGTCACTCCAAGTCCACCCTGCAGCTGCCCATGTCACTCCCAGTCTACCCTGCAACTGCCCATGGCACTCCCAGTCCACCCGGCAGGCGCCCATGTCACTCCAAGTCTACCCTGCAGCTGCTCATGTCACTCCAAGTCTACCCTGCAGCTGCCCATGTCATTTCCAGTCCACTCTGCAGCTGCCGGAGCCGGCCGGGCAGCTGCCGCCTTCAGCTGCCGATGTAGGAGGCGACAGGCAATAACACAGGTGCACGGGACAATGAAGCCACGCCAATAAAGCACTAACTACCACAGCGATCCCGAGCATCTGATTGGGGACTTCACTTTATAACAATGCGGCACGTACAGCAAGTGACACAGGCGGTTCGTCTTGAACAATGCTGGTGTTCCGGTGCGGCCCCGCTTGTACTGGTGTCGGGAACACCCCCCAATGGAACACTGCAGAGGATGTATGTATCGGTGGAACGAAGCAGTGCGCGTAACTATACCCGCAGTCCAATGAAGGCGTCAAACTGTAATTTAAACATTACTGAGTTAGTCACGCCAGCTAAGTGGTTGTCATGTCTTCACTGATGTATAGTTCTTGATATTTAGTTCACATTATCACTCCTCGAATAATTTATGAAATGTGAGCGCTTCATACGAATCTCACGAAATAAGGACAAACTGTAATACGCCGGCACCAAATGTGCACAAGCCGACGGAAGAGGATGATTTGGTGCCCGCCTTTGGACATTCCTCAATGATAGATTGAAGTTTAATCATGGTGATGCATGCCGTTTTCATGGAAGATGTGTTTCTTTCTGGCCGAATGATACAGCATCAAATTTACAAGGAGTCGTATTATTCACCAAGTGCCAAGCAAAGATCACTAGTTATTCGTGTTCATATACGGATTAAATTATTTTCTATGGGCCCAAAGCCGGAGCGTTTATCTCAGTCGTGTGATTTTTTTTCAAAAAGAGCATTCATGATTCGCATTGCGACATCTCACCTAACGACACCAGAAAATATAATTGTTAAACTTGCTATGATGAGCTCCAGAGAGCGAGACGAATCGGTGTAGCTATCCCCACTTTCGCACCTGCCCATTTCGTGGTTTTTATCAGCATTGCTGGCTGCGCCCCCACCTAGCCTGCCATCATTTGCATCCCCCTTGACAGTGACCTCGATCCGTCTGCAGTGACCTTGACCTCTCCATTGGCGCGTGTCTGTTGCAGGCCGCGGGCCCGGCCAGGGCCGCCATGTTTGGTGGTACGCACGACGCCACCGGGCAGACCGACTACACCACCTCCACCCTGATGGGCTCCGCCACCTACGGCTACCACGGCAGCGGCGACGTCGGCAGGCGGTGCATGCGTGAGTCCAGCTACCGCCGGCCGCTGACGCTAGCCGCTGACGCTAGCCGCTGACGCCAGCCGCTGGCCGAACCCCAACTGTGCACAAGTGTTAACACACGTTAAATCATGTGGGAAATGGACTACTTTGCGGCGCGTAATCGTGAAAACAGCATGGTCGGGCTCTCACGCTCTGGACAGTTTGACATTAGTCCTATTTGGCGTGATGACGCCCGCAAAAAAAGCGTTTCAAAGATGTTTGGCAGGCTCTCTACGCACTTATAGAAGTGATTTACTTTTCTCTTGTGACGAGTATGCACCATATTTGCGTCCACATTTGTCGGATGTGTCATCAGAGTTGACATTACCGACTTGTGGTGACTATGTGTAAGTAACAAAGATCGTCCATGTCGCATACATTATGCATTTAATTACACGGCGCGCTCTTAATTTTCAACGATTAAAAACTTCTCGCTTTCGTGAGCGAATGCTGTGCTTCCATGATTGGTATCATATCGCGATCTTGTAAATCATGTACGTTGCAGTTAGCCGCGTCATCCTTGTAAGCGTATAGCGCCATGGTTTGTCCATATCTGCACGTAGTTTCCCCATATCTTATAATCGCGAATTCTCCCTTGGGCTTAACTGCTTTGGTTGCATACAAGGCTGTGTTGCAGTGGCTTAAGACTGTATATGCATATTTTCATTCTGGCTTTTTATGACGCACCACGACAAACTGACGTGTGGTACCATCGGGGTGTCTATAAATCACGTCGCAACGTATTTTTGGCCATTTTCACGGACATCCCTCGATTACACGCTGCTAACGCTGGGTGAGGCCCCCTCCTCCGGGCTACCCTAGTTTGACAGAGAGTAGGACACCAACCGGTCGGATTAGACGTAAAATAGCGCCGCCTGATCCGCAGATTTCCGTCCAGATAATCAGGCAGAGACTTTTCACGACAGACCTGTTCCGGTCCACGAAAGCGTTATCCATTCATTGCGGACCAGCTGTCCGGCTCTGATTTAGCAGCCCAGCTGTCGGGCTCTGATTTAGCAGCCCAGCTGTCCGGCTCTGATTTGGCAGCCCGGCTGCCGGACACCAGCGGACATGTTCGAGGATGAAGCTGCTTGTGGGATCCTTTGGCCCGCTCCGCTGAGGGACACACCGTCTGTGAAGCCTTGTGGGGAGGGGGCACTTGGCCTCGTCGGTTTTGCCGCCATTACAACATGGCGCAAACAAATCGCTAACATTGCATTCCTGCCCGTCGCTGTGCCGCGGCTGTTGTCCACTCCCGCCCCCTGCCGAGGTCAGGCCGACACGTGACCCGCCTACTGGGGCGTCCCCGCGGCACGTGACCCGGCCACAAGCCCGGCGCCGCCGTCACGTGACTGCCGTCCTGTCTCTTGCACCGCCTTCCAAGCGCCGGTCGCGAGCCCCAGCCGGTCGGGCTCCCTCGCTCCGCGTGCGGTGAAAACCCGCCCTCACGACGCCCCCACCCCGTCCACCCGACCGCTCGCCCTCCATATTAATCCCCGCACGGCCAGCCGCAAGAACCGTGCCGGGCGCCACCGCGGCCGCGCTTCCCGTTCTCACCGCGTGCAAAGCGGGGCCGCGTTTCCACGGTGGCCGGCAGGGGCGGCCGCAGGGAGGCCCCGCCGGCGGCAGACCGGGCCGCGGCGCTGACCTCGACACCCGCGGCGCGCGAGCCGTGAACTTGAAAACGGCGCGGCGGCCGCGGCGCGCTCGCCGCTGATTGGCGGCGCCTAATTGGCGGGCGCGCCGGCAGCCGGCCGGGAACGGCCCCAAATGGCGTGTAATGAGCGCGCCGCCACCGTATATCTGCCGGAGTGGCATCGCCCCGGGGTGGGGCATGTTAATACGTGTCGTTCGACCCGGCTGGGCGGCTCCCGAGCGGGATACGCTCCGTCTCGGTGCGTCGGGGCGAGGCGAGGGGCTGCAGGCCGTCCCCATGGCACCCAGCCGGCTTCAACATTGATGTTGTTCGGCTGAATCGGTGAGTGACGTCATGGGTCCAACGTACAAAAGATCCAACAGCCTACCTCGCTGACCTCCTCCCCCAATCCACCCCACTCTGTGTCCCCACGCTTCCCCCCCCCCCCCCCCCCCCCCCATAATCACGTCTCCGAGCAGCGACCGCTTGCTTACTCACACGTCGTGTCCACAAGCCCCGTTTTGTCAGGAGAAGCCTCTGTTCGGGCCTGCCTCATCGTAGTCATGTGTGGGCCCAGGACGTTGCGACCGTCGTTTCGGCCACGATCGCCTTTTCCGGCTAACATGCCCTCCTAGTCCATGGTCAAGTACGCTCGACGAACCGCCACAGCTCCCAGTTCATCCCACACGGCAGGACACAGTTCGTAGTGTACCAATTTTCCTGTTTTTACAGGCCGTGCCCGGGTCTCGTTTTATCACCCACTAGCAGCGATGGGAAGCGTCCCTTGCGGTAGCCCCGTAATTATGTCAGTAGTTAGCTGGGCCCTCTAGATTACGACGCGTGAGTTAGATGGCGACTATGGTGGTCCCAAGTTTCAGCCCGCGGCAGCGAACTGAATGGCCATCGACTGTAGACACTACAGACTGCACTGTTGGTATTGCACTGGGTGATGTACATACCACACGGTGCAGTGTGTATGCGCACTATATCCCGTAATGGCGACACCGCCATTCGATGATTCAGCAGGGGCCACATTTGAGATACATTGTTGCCATCCTACGTCTGGACCGTCAGGAAAACGGCGGCTATCTGGGTTACAGAGCAAGTCGCGAGACCGAAATAGTTCCGGCGATTTCGAACTGATGTATACAGCATTAAAGTTGCGCATGCGCTCGAGATCTGGCTCCTCGTCCTCGGGCGGCCGAAACAAAGAGCGCCGGGAAAATCCATTTATTGGCATATGTTTTAACAATAAATCTTGTCCTCCGCTGGTTGATCTGTTTTTGTCGTTGCGGCACGCAGAAATCAGCTCTAGCATTGTGTGTATCAAGTCACCAATCCAAGCGTTTTGATCAGTGCCTGGCCAGACTTCGGTTGCAGCGTTGCATTAAAAGCCTGCTCTTTTTTATTGAAGCGCGTCGTTTGTACCACTGATATCCGCGCAGCGCGGCTTGGGTGCCCCGTGCTACCGAGGAATCATCTCCCCTCACTAATCCACCCCTCCTAAATGGGATATAAAAACATTATCTCAACCGGTTTGTGTAGTGTTTCACCTCTCTCCATCATTCTGACTCCGCGTAGTCTATTGGTAATAAAACTTGCATTGCCTTCACGAATAAAACTCAAAGCCGATCAGCCGCTCTCCGCACGCGTCCCCAGTCCAGACTCCTTTGTCCCCCGCACCGTGCCCGCCCGGCGTCTCCGTTCGTGTGGCGCCGCAGGCTATGACCCCGTGACCCCGGCAAGGTCAACTGCCGCGGCCCACCACGAACCGCCTCGTCAGACGCGAGGGCGTACGGGACGCGACGCTACAGTTTGCATGGACGATTTTTTGTTGAAACACTTACTAAGTGGAGCTTGTTACGTGTGTTCTGAAAGTACCATCCAAAACAGCCTGAACAGTTCATCCGGTAATTTTGCTTACGGCCTGCCTGCTAGGCAGGATTTTTGCACGCCGTACAATACCCGGCACGGCCACCCCACACCGTGGCACCGCCGCCGCTCCGGCTAGCTGCCGGCTTGGCAAATAAAATCCCTACCCAGGAATTCGCAACCCATGTCACTGGACTGGGGGTCCAGCACCTCGTGTCCATGCCACGGAGCCACGAACGCCCAGCTGCGAATGGGTTACCTATGACACTGCATCCAGAATAGACTACCCGAACCTGAACACCCTGAAACCGAGTAGCCTCTCCCGACCTAGTGTGTGATCAAATTTGTTTGGTTTAAGGCCTTATTTGACATGATTATAGAGTTTGTTTTTGATCAGCTCTACCATTTATCAGATTATGTTAATTTGCTGCGTAACGCATGCCTACATCATCTTCCGCATGGATCATTGCGCAAATCTCCACCACCATCATCACCATTATCATCATCATCGTAGGAACACAAACGTCACATATGTGCGTCTTCGTGTGCGCTCCTGGTTCTAAAGTATTTACAACAATTTCAAATCTTTCACGCTACATGTGGGAAATTCGTGGCTGATCACACCTAGAGCAATACAAGATCGTTGGTCGTAAAAGACGTGGCAGCTGTTGTCACGACGGATGACAAATAACTTTTTGAATAACTTACGGAATTGTAAGTAGCAGCCTGTGGCGGCCTCGGCGAAAAGAGCAATCATACACAAGGTGATTTCAAAGTTATGATTCAAGACTAGGTGCCAAAAAGGCGCCGTTGCTGTCATTTCACGCTTTCCCACGCGGCGTTCTAGCCACAACACTGGTTTCGACGAAACTTTAATTACTGTAGTGTCTTTCTGCTGGGGCGAACACAGATTTGTTGAGACATCAGCGATGACAGAGGTGAGCAGGCAGGCTGGAACTTCTTTTGTGGGCAAGTTGGTACGTGTACTAACTAACCCCGCCCTAAAATCAATGCAGTGCAGTCATGTAGATTCCTCAGTCTTTCATAACTTTTAAGAGTTTTGCGCAATGGTGTTAAAATAATCGTGAATAACACACATCAGAAGTCCAGATGATTTAATGAAAATTTATAGAGTAGTTCATAATCAAAGTAAGTATTTCAATAACACACTTTTCGAAATCACGAATGCGCTATTGATGTTATCATCGTATTTATGGTATTAGTGGCATCAATGGTAACAGACACTGCCAGCGGTGCGCTCCCATTGGGGATGGCACGTACGTACCTGACACCATTCGGTAGCACTGCAGAAGATCTCTCAAAAGCGTGGTGCCGGCCTCCACACCGGGATCAGCACAGATGAGGGGGCACTGGTTTTGCATCAGTAACAACCAGCTGTCTGGTACCGGCAATGTACTGGCTTTCATTGTAGGTTTCCAACGCATGACAACTTCTAATGCCGTCAGTTTACGTG